GCAGTCTAGATGTATCTGCTTTCTCAATAACAGCCTTTGAACTATCCACGTATCTAGATAACATATTAATAAAGGCAACATGTAACTCCACATTGCTTCTTCAGTGTTATATCTAATATTAAAGGTCCATCTTATATTTGATGATCACAACTTTTTGATGACACTTTTTCTTCAGATGCAAGAAATAAAACCCAGGATTGTGAGCCTGCTAATGAGCTATACTCCTAGCCCTATTTCTCCAAAGGATATTTCTTCAATTTTCCCACAAATTTAACAACTAACAATAACTCCCATATATAATTATGTGTAACTCAGATTCATACTATACCTTCTAATATAATTATGTTTAGAATGCTACATTAGGAAAATTGAATTCAATGGGAAGGCAAAACACTGTGTAGTATTTCAAAATATTATTTTGTGTGTTTGATACAAGTGCCAGGCATTTTGGGGTGTTACTTCCTTTTACTGTGGATTCCAAGAAGCTTTGGGTCACAAGTTTGTTTGGCAAGTGTTTTTACTCACTGAGCCATTTTGTTAGCCATGTAGTATAGATGTAACTATTGACTGAAAAGATCCCAGAAGCTGAGCCAAGAATCTGGTCCCTATAACTTAGTTTCAAAAGTTTCCTTTCTCTAAAAGGAATCGACTCCTTATTCCAGATACAAAAGCAAAGTACTTAGTTATAAGAGCAGCCTAAAAGCAAGTCTAACATACTGACACAACATGTCAAAATGAAGCTAGGAGTGTAGCTCAGAGTGCTTATCTGACACACCACAGGCCCTGGGAACCCCCAGCACCTCAAAAAGCAGGAGGAACTTGTGAAAAGCATACAAATGATGTTTCAGTGGGTAAAAGCAAAACAGCCAAAACTGATGACCTGAGTTTGACCAATAGGAACAGACTCCCACAGGTTGTCCTCTGGCCTCCATAATACTCTGTGGTATGGGTACCTACACACACATATAAATAAATGTAATTAAAAATAAACTGAGTTTTAAACACCCACATATTTACTGTAAGTTATTGAGGAGGAGGAGCTGGCTCCTATAGAAAAAGGTCATCTTATAACTAAATGTTACAATGGCACATCAGAATGATACCACTTTAACCAATTGCTCAAATACAGAACAGGCCAAACTGACAAGTGTCTTCAGGGTGTTTTATCTTAGGAAATACACAACATCACCGTACCTACATCCTCTTTCCAAAATATTTAAGCTCTTAATTGTAAAGTAACATTTATGTATAAGACAACTAACTTACTAGGATACCACAAAGGTATACATGAAGGCCTGGGAAGATGGCTCAGTTGGTAAATGTTTGCCTTGCAAACATGAGGACCTGAGTTTGCCACCACCACCCCACCCAAACTCATGTACAGAGTGGTATAGCACATGGGGCTGAAGAAGGAAGGATCCTTGAGGCTCACTGCCCAACCAGTGTAGCTTAACTGGCAAGCTGCAAGCCAATAAGAGACTGTCTCAAAGGAGGCAGACAATGTCCCTGATGATGACATCAGAAATTGAACTCTGGTCTCCATACATGCACATGTACACACAAAATGTTTAAGCCATGTGGCCAAAAGATGCCTCAATAAAGAAAGATAAGCTTGGCAACCTGAGTTCAATCCCAGGACCCACACAGCAGAAGAGAGAACCGATTCCCACAAGTTGTCCTCTGACCTCTACTCACATGCTATGGCACACGCATTCAAGCACATTGTAAATCATTTACATGAATAAATAAAAATCAAATAAAAAGACAGACACTGGAGGGGCCAAGCATGACTCACACACTGAATCCCAGTAGGTGAGGGAAGTGGCTACACACAGAATAAGGCGGATCTGTGGGTATGAAGCTAGCCTCATCTACATAGCAAGTTTCAGGCCAGACAGAGCTAAAACCCTGTCTCAAAAAACAAAACAAAAAGTCATGGGTGTGGTGATCAAAAAGCAGCATTACAGCCAAATATATACCTTATATCTTAGTTTGCACTCTGAACTAAGAGGGGAAAATTAAAATAGGCTACATATTTGATATTGTTAATGTTGTCTTACTGAGGTAAGTTATTTAGACTACCTCTGCTCTTTACTAAGGACATTATGTTCAGATATACTTAGGAATAAATACCAGAGTTTTGCAAAAGCAAACGTTAAAAGTACATGCAAGAATAAGAACATATAATTGAATTCCACTTCAACTTTTCTGGATTTTGAAAATTTTCAAAATAAGTCAGGGCAACAAAAGAAATTTAACTCTCTTTTTTGGGGGGTGGGGGTTTTGAGACAGGGTTTCTCTGAGGCTGTCCTAGAGCTAGCTCTGTAGACCAGGGAAGACTCCAACTCAAAGATCTGCCCACCTATGCCTTCCCAGTGCTGGGATTAAAGCTGTGCACCACCATACCTGGCAAGAAATGTTAACTCTTTCAATACAACTACTTAGTATACAAATAAGTTACTAAATATGAGTGATTCTGAATTTTAGTTCAAAATAATTAAGTTTATACATTCTTGGAAGTAATTTATTAAAAATGCTTTATTACCTTAAAACCTTTGCATATTTTTTAATAGCCATCTCCCAGTTCTGAGATTTGAAAAAAGTATTTCCAATGTTTTTTAAGTCTTCAGTTATTAATAAAATTTTATCTACCTGTATAAAATACAAATATGTTGGATGTTAGTAAATAATATGACTTAACGCTAAGATTCTATCATTATGACAGGCTGATCAAGCTTTTAGAACTAAGTATTTTAATTCACTCAAGTAATTAAAGTGTACTCATCTGAAAGTACTCACATCTTTTAAATCTATATCAGCATCCTCAGGGAAATCTGGATGACTGTCACCAGAGCCGTCTTTGGGGAATATTCCCCAGTCATCCCCTTCTTTCAATTCTCCACATTCTGCAATGACACACAGCTGCAAAAATATTAAATTGAAGTGAATATTCAGAGATCTTTAAGTATACCTTTAAAGGCTGCACAGCTCAGAGTCATACAATGCTACCAATGTCACCGACTTGACAGGGGTGCATTTCTCTGCTATAATTACAGTAATTTCCTTTTATGTACATTCCAGCTAATATGACAATGTCACTATTCACAGTATTTACTGTTTGGGAGTGCTATGAACAGAGCGAGTTGAGAACTGCATCACCATGTATGAAGCTGTCTGAGGTGACCCAGTCTTTCTGTCATGTATTGTTGGTTGGCATACTTCCTATGAGTAACTGGATTTCTAATTCCTGCACAGTCTCATTACTTAATGTGTCTCTCACAGTCACTCTGTTTCACAAGCATTTAGAATACAACACAACCTGAAACACTTAAGCAATTTATATAGGATGTAAACACAGATCAAGAAAAGTAACAAGATCTGCGCCAAACTTCCAGTTAGATAGCAGTGAACTCACTATCTTCTTTCCAGTATGTACTATAGTTAATTACTACAGACACAAAAGCCTCATGGGTATGGGAAGACTAGAGCAATCTGACAATGATCACTGTTAGATCACACTGAAGCTGAAACAAGAATTAAAATCTCTTCATTGGCCAGAGTGGTTAATCCTAGAATGTGAGTAGCATCAGCAGAGACAAAAAGACTACTAGACAAATCCAGGAAAACCAGGTCTACCTGTTTCAAAGGAGAAATAAATAAACGCCATTGTTTAAAAAAAGTTTCAGAGAAAAGTGGTCAATCCAGGCTATTCCTATAGCAAAAACATCCTAATTTCTTTCCTACATTCTAGCTAACAATCATGGGACACCTGTAACTTGGAATTTTTTTGCCACAGTAACTAAGCAGGTATGTTTATTTCATTTTAACTTTTTACTTACTTTGGCAGGTTTTTCACCATTCACTTCGACATTTTCAAGCATCCTTGCTACACCTAGTCCTTTAATTACTTGACCAAATACCACATGTTTTCCATCCAAATGAGGAGTTGGAACTGTTGTGATAAAGAACTGAGAACCATTTGTATTGGGACCTGCATTTGCCATGCTCAGCAAACCCTCCCGATCATGCTGCAGAGATAAAAATCATTTAAAGAAAAAACAAAGTTAGAGGCCTTAGTCTGAATTTCCTTTTATTGACTCTTCACCTAAAATAGATGGAGTCTATGACTGCTTACTTTTTTACATCAATTTTACATTTAAGTGCTTAAGTACCCTTTTCTCTGATTTTACTTAAGAACCTTAAATGAATAAAAGAAAAGTGTCTAAAAGGCAGGCATTTCTAAACTGTCCATCTGCAAGAGATGCTTACATTTCAATCTTAAAGATGAAGATGCCATACTAAGGACATCGAGTAATTTACTTTGCTCTTTTTATGAGTTACTATTTTTCTGAGAACACCTGTACAGTCTTCACACAACAGAAACTGCCTATGTTATGATTCTTCCTTTTCTCTAAACTGAGACCAGTAATGTAGTAGTGAATTTAGACAAATTATTCCAATAATTTTAATTCCAATCTTATGGCTTTTATCCAAATAAATGAACAACTCAGAGATGATACAAAAAAATATCTTGCAGCGGGGCGTTGGTGGCGCTCGCCTTTAATCCCAGCACTCGGGAGGCAGAGGCAGGCGGATCTCTGTGAGTTTGAGGCCAGCCTGGTTTCCAGAGCGAGTGCCAGGATAGCCTCCAAAGCTACACAGAGAAACCCTGTCTCGAAAAAAAACCGAAGGGAAAAAAATCTTGCAGGGCTGGAGAGATGGCTCAGGGGTTAAGAGCACTGGATGAGCTGGGTGGTGTTGGCACAAGCCTTTAATCCCAGAACTCAGGAGGCAGAGTTAGGTGGATCTCTATGAGTTCGAGACCAGCCCGGTGATCTACAAGAGCTAGTTCCAGGACAGCCCCCAAAGCCACAGAGAAGGGTTTCCTCAAAAAAACAAAAAAAAAAGATGACTGGCTGTTCTTTTCTTCTAGAGGTCCTGAGTTCAATTCCCTGCAACCACATGGGTGGCTCACAACCATCTGTAATGAGACCTGGTGCCCTCTTCTAGTGTGTAGATACAGATGCATTCAGAGCATTGTATAAGCAATAAATAAATGTTTAAAAGGAAAAACAAAACATCTTGCAATCAATATGCTCAAGAGCAAGACAATTTCTCTGCTTTTCTACTTTGCATAGCATAGGCTTTCTGAATGCCTCGCTCTAGTTCACACCTCATAACTCTCAGGTTACTTTCCCCACACCTAAGATACAATCCAAATCCTATTCAGCTTTCAATATCACTGAATTTTCACAGTGATTTTCCTTAGGCCTCCTTTCTTTTAATCAATGCAATGGTCAGAAATACCTCAGTTATGCCTGTGATAGCTTTGCTTGGTGCTTTGCTTTAACTATTCTCCTCTACACAGTAAGTTTTCTTTCTTTGGTTTCCCACTGTCTTTCCATGTTGCTGTCATCACTGTCATTTAAAATATGTATTTTAGTCCCAAACTAGCATAATTCCAGCCACCTGACGGTCCAGTTTGCCTAGCTTAAGTGATCAAATCTCCTCAGTGTCTCTCGTACTAACTTGCTAATCAGACGTGCTGGGTGTAGTCCGATATGCTTTTAATCCCAGCACTCAGGAGACAGAGACAGGATATTTCTGAGTTCAAGCCCAGCCTGGTCTACACAGCAAGTTCCAACCTTAAAGGATGAACTTCCCTAAACTGAAAACCAAAGACACACATGTTACAAAATCTAAAACTTTTGAGCAACAACTTTCAGATATCAGGTTAGGGATGCTCGACCTATAAAAATCTATGAAAATGTTTCAAAATCCAAATAACTCTGAAATATGAAATATTTCCAAAATAAAGCATTTCATATAGGGTCAGTCATCTATCAAAGGTATGTGAACAAATATATTCAGTCTACTTAGCATTTACATGGACTATTTATTATTATCCTCTACTGTCCCTTGTATTTTATCCTGAATCTGAGGTAAGATTAACAGCCTCTCATTTTTTAAATAAACTCTTTGATGCAGTGCCAGAACTGAGCAACAGAAATTCTCTTTCCAAGTCATACTAATTACCTTGCTTATATTCCTCATTTCCAAAGATATCACTTTACTTTTGTACTTACATGTCTGTTCTTAAAACGGGAATGATGCAATACACCCCGAACATTAACCATATCCTCTAGGTGGAAAATCCCCTGACATCCTGGATATTAGCGATGGTTTTGTTGTTCTTCAAATTCAAGGATAAAGATGCACAAGTTACCATCCTTACAATAATGAGAACATTTTTTCCTGGGATCAATTTTGCCATATGGGACCTTTAAAACTCACTGGCTTAACTGAAGCATATAATAACTGATCATAGTGAAATAAATAACAATATTTTTGCTAAAATATCATACTGGCCAGATATGATAATGTTTATCTGTCATTCCAACACTCAGGAGGCAATGCAGGAGGATGGTAAATTCAAGACCACACTGGATTACACAGTAAGTCCCTATCTCAAAAAAGAAAACTATTACTGGATAAATCCTTTCCACATTAAAGATGCATATTGAACTGGGATGTAGCTCAAGTGGTAGAGAACTTGCCTAGCATTCACAAGACCTTGAGCTTATCCATGCCTAGCACCACACACCCTTACAAATGTTTATTTTTTTTATTTAATTTTTTTTTTTTTTGGTGGAGGGAAGAAAGGGTTTATTTGGCCTACACTTTCAGATCATAGTCCATCATTGGAGGAAGTCAGAACAGGAACTCAAGCAGGGCAGGAACCCGGAGGCAGAAGCTGATGCACAGGCCATGGACAGGTTCTGTTTACTAGCTTGCTCCAGAAATGTTTATTTATGAATGATCTATAAGAAAAGTATAATCCACACCAGGCCTGCCAAAACAGGTTTATAATCACCACTCCTCAGGAGGGTAAGTAAAAAGGATTGGGAATTCAAGGCCTGTCTAGGCTACAGAGTAACTTTAAGGTTAGCCTGAGCAACTAGGCAAGACCCAGTCTCAAACTGGAAAATGGGAGGAAGGGTAGCTGAGACATGGGGCACTTGTCTGACATAAAAGCCACACACAGTATGTGGAAGGACAGCATTCTGATCACACTCCAGTATTTTTTGTGTCTTAATCCAAGTATATTTCAAATACATAATCTTTATATTAGCAAAAACATGAATTTTTCTTTACCTTATAATGAAAATTTTCATCTTCAAATTTTTCACCATAAATACTTTCTCCACCTGTCCCATTCTGATTTGAGAAGTCTCCACCCTGAATCATAAACTTCTTAATAACTGCAAAAAAGAAACATGGCTATCAGTAACTGAAAAAGAAGGTCTCAGCAATGCTCACTAATAAATGAGTAATAAGACAACTTCCTACGCATGACATTAGTAGTTAGTGTTCTCGCCTGCTTCCACCCCATCAACTCTACCTGTTAAGACTTCTCACAACCCAACTCCAACATACTTTTTACTAATGACTCCACACCAGCTCCCAAGAAATCAGTTCTTTGAACTAATTCAAAGCCCCCTCCATAAAATTATCACCAAAAACACAAAAGGCAGACTTAGTTTCAATCATTATGCTAACCCTACTTCCATTTTATAATGTGTGATAATCCAACAATGAGCAGCTTAAATGGCATTTTACTCCTTGAAACTATATACTTGCTCAATAATGCCTACTAAGTAAACATTATTCCTAATAGTGTTCTAGCCCTAATAGAACACACAATGAGGACTGAACCTAGAATTTGAATATGCTAAGAATGCATGCCAGAGACTTTTGTACATTTAATGACAATGGTCTGAAACTACCCCACGTTCAGAGAACTCAAGGTTCATGGGACTCAGCATTTGGCTACACTGTAGTAATAACCATACACAACTAGCAAGAGAAAAGAAACACAAAGTTGGGAGGTATCCATGCCCCACTTCCTTGGGCTTTCCCCCCTCATAATAGTTGTTGGACTTCCAGCAACAAAAATGCAGAAAAGCCTGAGATAATTCTGTCCAAGATATACAAGCAAAATCCCAGCACCCAAAATATTTCCTGGATCCTTATCATCACAGTATTCTCTACCTAACATGTCCCAAAATTCAAGACTAAAAAGCAGATGTTTCTTATCAATTACATTTGTCAAACTGGTGTAGGCCTAATTATCAACTTTCTGATTTAAGGAAGGGTTCAAGTGCCAAGTTCCCAACTCTAGCCAACTGCTTTTTTAAGGAAGTATTAAATCTACTGTGTTAACTATTTTCTTTCTTTTTTTAAGCATGTTTTGTATATAGGTATGGGTCTATGTAAATGTATGCCACATATGTGCACATGTTTGCAGAGACCAGGTATTGGATTCCCTGAAGCTGTAGTTACAGAAGGTTGTAAGCCATCAGACATGGATACTGGGAACCCATCTTAGGTTCTCTCAGAGAGCAGTAAGTGCTCTTAACTGCTCAGCTATCTTTCCCTTACCATTTTAACTGTTTTCTAAATATATTTTTGCTAGCATACTTTTATATCTTATTAAATATGAAAGTAAATTAAGCTTAAAACATTTTACAAAAAAATCAATGTTCATTGTTTCTTAATAGTAGTTTTAATAAAATTGAACTATTGGAGGTGTGTAAATCGGGAATAGTAATACCCTGGATTCAATTCCCTGAAATACAGGAAAATTACTAATACTGTAATCTATTTGTTTATTCATAAATATTTAGCTTACTTTTATTAAATGCAAAAATAAAATGGTGAGAGCATGCAGCTCCTGAACTTACGACTATTGAGCCTAAAAACTACTGGGACAATAGTCAAATAATCTGTGAATAACAGTTTAATCACACATTATCAGGGTGTCCAAGAAATGGAATAGTCAAAGACTTCTCAAGCAATTCTGCCCAGGCTGTCAAGTGACTTAAGGTCAGCTTATTTATCTGTCATGGGTTTTCTTTCCCAATAAAATGATTTGAAGAAGAGAGTCAGAAGCCTGCTGAAGGCAGGTTGTCCATTGCCCAGCAGATAAACATTAGTGTGCTCCCATGATCAACCCCACTGCTCATAGACAAACCTTTATAACACTGAGCTGTCTATCACCTGTGTCCAAGTATCCTTCAGACTCAACATTACATTATTCTCTATCTCCTAAGAGCAGGACTGATATCTATACCAGGATAATCAGACAGAGGAAGTTTACACACATACTTCGGTGAAAAGGACATCCTTTAAAATGGAGAGGTTTCCCAGTTGTGGGTCCAGTGCCTTTTTCTCCTGTACACAACGCACGAAAATTTTCTGCAGTTTTGGGAACAATATCTGCAAACAATTCTAAAACAATTCTGCCAACTGAAAGAAAAGAAAGGAAATCATGTCATTGTGCAAAGTAACTAAATGTGTAAACAAAAAAGGAGATAACTAGTATGCCTAACCAGTGGTTAACACATCATTCAGTGATACAGTTCTCTTTCAACAACTTATGTGAACTACAGGAACAGACCTTTTGCACTTAACTCTCTTTAAATGAAACTATGCATACTTTGACATTTCCCCAGCCCCTGATACCTTCATGCTACTTCTCTGAGTTCAACTTTAAGATTCCACGAAGGTGAGATCCTGCAGCAGACTTATTTCACTCACCGAAATACCCTCTAGATTCATCTATGCAGTCATAAATAAGATTTCCTTCTTTTAAAAGGCAGCATTATATTCTACCATGTATACGGACACTGCATGTATTCATGCATTGATAGACATTAGATTGGTGCTGTATCTTGGCTACTAAAGAATAATTTGGCAAGGACACGGGTGTGCATTAAACTTCGTTTTCCTTGGATATAAGCCCAACCATGGAACTGTCAATTTTTATTGTCGTTTTTTTCTAATCCTATTTAGTCTAAGGGAAGCTTCATATATCTAAATCTAAACATTGAACAGATTATAACCAGTTACAGCATTCAGCTGATTAGCAGCATAGGACACCCTGAGTACCAATGGTTTAAAATCCCGAATCATTTAATTAATATCCAGACTTTTAAAAAATACTTTATTCTATGTGTGGGGCTGAGGCAAGCAGTGTGGACATCAGAGGACTACTTCTGGCAGTCAGGGCCGGTGGCAGACACCTTTGCCTTTTAGGCTGTCTCAGTGGCCCGTATTAAGAATTTGTTTTTCAAGACAAGGTTTCTCTATGTAACAACCTAGCTATCCTGGAACTAGCTCTGTAGACCAGGGTGGCCTCGAACTAATTGCCATGTAATCAACAGAAGACAAATAGTACAGGAATGGTCAGGTTGCCTGGGGTTTTTATACCTTAGCAGTTCTCTGTGCTCTGTGGAAATTACTTATTGCAGTTGCACTTTCAACAAACCAAAAGACAATAACAGTAAAACCTTAGTTCCAAAACAAAGTGCATGCACATATAAATTTGTATGTGTTCCCATCTCAGTAAGTCGGGCCAGCAACTCTATAACATGTTTCAGAACAAGCCCAACTCAGTTACAAAGTAACACGCCCCCTACCGGGTTCACAACCTTCCAATGCTGCGACCCATTACTACTACAGTCCCTAACGTGGTGACTGCCCACCATAAAATTATTTTGTTGCTACTTCGTAACTGTAATTTTGCTACTGTTATGAATCTAATGTAAATATCTGACATGTGACCCCTGTGACTCCCACAGGTTGAGATATGCAGGTTTAGGACTTCTTAGCTCTGAATCCAAGGCAGCCATACAGCTGTGGCGCTCAATTCCATAATGCCAAAACAGCAGAAACGATCGCCTACCTAATCGGGAATGAGGAAAAAGCACTAAGCAAGTCACTTTAATCTGTAAACGACTCCGTAGCCCCCGATGTAATTCGTGTGCCACAAGTCCCACGGCGTGACTAGAGCCCAGCATACAGGTATCCATAGAGCACTCCAACAATTATCCACCACCCTCGCCATATCATTTTATTTTACAATAAATGGCGGTGCAAAGGTTGCAGGGAAGTGCGACCAAATCAAGAGACAAAAGTAAGGGACGCCACAATTCCTGAAGTAGAAAATTCCAGAAACTTCCGTGGGAACTAAGGCATCGCCTACACCGCAGCAGGCGCAACCTGAACTCGTGGAAGCCAGGTCTTGCTCCGGGTAGGATCCAGGCTGCTACCTCCCTCCCGACCCCAGGCCCCTAGCCGCGGAACGGTCATGCGGCCGAGCAGAACCGCAGCCGCCAGGCCCCCAGCGCGGGAGGCGAGCGCGCCGCTCACCTCGCTCCCCGCCGATGTCCACGTCAAAGAAGACCCGCGGGTTCTTGGGGTTGGAGGGCCTGGCTGTCGGGGATGGGTGCGACATCTTCACAGCAAGCGACGAGAAGAGAGACTCGGGCACCACGTGCGTGAGTGGGGGACAAACTCTACTCCGCCTCTGCGTGACAAGCTGGCGACACGCTAGAGGAGCTACTTCCTGCGCGCAGCCGGAAGCTGTCCCCTAGTTTCCGGTCCGGAACGCCCTCTTTTCCGGCTTCTGCGTACGGCCGCTGTGTCCTGCCTTTCTTTGGAGGTGAAGGGGCCGTGGAGTTGGTTCTCTTCAGTCGTGAGCTGTTTCGCGGTCCTTGCGGCATCCCTGGGTGGAAAATTTAGAAATCAGCTTCCACGAACTCCCAGTAACTGTTCCGAAACTTAGTTCACTCGTCTAAAAAAAAAATGGAAATAAAAATGCTTTCTTTGAGCGGACAAGACGGCTCATCTGCACTCAGGTGCTTAACCTGAGTTTGTTTCCCGGAATCCACAAAGTGAAAGGAAAGAGAGTCCGTTGTCACCTGACTCTCACATGCACTTCGTGTCGTGCACTCCGGCACGTGCATACATAAATTAATTCTTAAAAATTTTAAATATCCACCTACCTCGAGAAGGCGTTTTGGAGATTAAGGACATGAATCACGTGTCCGCATACCTCATATAAATTTGTGGCACCCAATCACAGTGGGTGGCCTTTTGAAAGGAGAAGCAGGTGTAACTGCAACCATCCATACCATGTGATGAAGATTCCTTCCTGTGGGCCACCAGTTTTAGGATATATAAAAACTTGAGTTATACAGCACAATACTATATTGTGGTCATTTGCCATCACATTGTAAGTGATCCAGTTTAGACCTAAGGCTCCGAACTGCTGATGTTCAGAACCGAACCCAGAAGAGGACGGTTTTGCCGTCTGTTAAAACTGCATACACAGGCGGATCTCTGAGTTCGAGGCCAGCCTGGTCTCCAGAGCGAGTGCCAGGATAGGCTCCAAAGCTACACAGAGAAACCCTGTCTCGGGGAGAAAAACTAAAAATTAATGTATGTATTAAGGTGAGTAGTTTTGGCACATGCCTGTTATGCCAGCAGCTAGATCCCAAGCCAGGAGGATCAGTTCAAGCTAGCCTGGGCTACATGAAGAGGCACTCTGTCCAAAAAGTTTAAAAAAAAAATTAAGATCGCCCAGGACACCTTCCTCCTTCATATATACTTAACACTTATGAGGTAGAAACAGGAAGAGGTCAATTCCAGGTCAGTCAGGGCTACACAATGAAATGTTATATCTTAAAAAAAGAAAAAACAACAACAACAAAATAAAACGAACAAGCCCAGGTTTGTACCCAGCACCTGTAATCTCAGAACTAGAGGCAACATAAAACTGCCTCAAATTAGTCTTTTCTTTAAAAAAAAAAAATATACTACCTGTGTATAGGAGAATACAATGTCACCTCATGACATCGTCTAATGGTACATAAAAAACAGCAGTTCCCAGTGCATTTTGTTGGCCTCCAGAGCTCTGTGAGAGAGCCATACCACCTAGATACAGCATGGTGGTCACCTTGTCAATAGACTTACTTTTTTTCTCATCAGAATAAAAATGTGGGATGTGGTTAGCAACAGCCAGCAGTGCCTTTTGAAAGGAGAGAGAAGCAGGTGTAACTGCAACCATCCATACCATGTGATGAAGATTCCTTCCTGTGGGCCACCAGTTTTAGGATATATAAAAACTTGAGTTATACAGCACTCGGGAGGCGGAGGCAGGTGTATCTCTGTGAGTTCGAGGCCAGCCTGGTCTACAGAGAGAGTTCCAGGACAGGCTCCAAAGCAATACAGAGAAACCCTGTCTTGAACAAAACAAAACAACAACAACAACAAACTTGAGTTATAAAGACCAATTAATTCCTGCTCTGAACTCGAAGCAAGCTGTAACATTATATGATGGATAGAATTAAGGACTAAAGTTGATTTTTTTCTTTTGAGATAGGATCTTGCTATGTAGCTCTGACCATCTAGGACTCAGTGTAGACCAAACTGACCTCACACTTGCAACAGACCATCTGCCTCTCCCCCAAATACTGAGATTGGATACACAGACCACTAAGCTCAATGTATGTAGCACTAGAGTTATGTGTATTAGAGTTAAGCATTCTACCAACTAAGCTGCATCTCCACCCCTAACCAAAGTTGATGTTTTGTCTATTTGTGCAAGAAGTACTTTATTATTGTTATTTTGTTTGTTTGAGACAAGGTCTCATTATGTAGACATGCTGCTCTCAAACTCACAGAGTTTTGTCTCTGCCTCCCAAATGCTGGGATTAAAGGCATCTGACACCACTCCTGGAAAATGTTAACTTCTTGTGTCCTTCAGTTCCACAATGCTTATTCTTCAAGTTTCTTGAAGACTCAGGGATGGTTCACTGCAGAACTGCTGTGTCCTTTGATAATGTGACAGTTTGAATGGAAATTGTCCCCAGTAGTATTAGGCATTTTAACACTAGGTCCCCAACTGATGGCACTGTTCAGAAGGTTTAGGAATTGTATCCCTGTTGGAGGAAGTATGCCACTGGAGATGGGCTTTGAGAGTTTAAAGACTTGTTTGCTCATGTAAGTCATGTGAAACAAGCTTGTTCCCTAACTTGAACTAATAAAAAAATTAAAAAAAAAAAAGACTTGTTTGGTCTCTACTTACTGCTTGCAGCTCAAGACATAAGCTCTCAGCTTCCTGATCTAGCTGTCCTGCCTAGATTCTGTCATCATGGATCTAACCCTCTGGAACTGTAAACCCAAACTCTTCCTCCTTCATGGTGATTTATCACAGCAATAGAAAAGTAACTAACACAATTAAAATCTTTCTCTAACATGGTCTCATGTCTGGGCTGCAGACTGATCATTTATATTTTGTCTTACTGCAAAGGCAAACTAATTAAAATGGGTGCTCTAGGGTCTGAGAAATATCTCAGTCAATAAAGTGACATTCAAATATGAGGACCTGATTTTGGATCCACAGCACCCTGATGGTACACACCTGTGATCTCAGTGCTAGGGAGGATGATTCCTCGAGCTCACTAGCCAGTCAGCCTAGCTGAATCCATGAGTTCCAGATTAAATGAGAGAGAGACCCTGTCTCAAAAAATAAGATAGAGACCTACAGAGGAAGAAACTGCACATCAGACTCTGCCCTCCACATACATACACACATCCAGAGAAACATGGACAAACAACACGAAAACATACACACACACACACACACACACACACACACACACACACACCATTCTGAGCTACTAGCTTGAAATCAGTTGAGGCCAGCCTGGAATGCATAGAAAGACTGTCTCAAAAGGAAAAACAAAAAGGAGGAGAAAGAAATAGTCAAAAGGTGTGTTTAGGCTGCTTCATTCTTGCAAGAAGTAAGCTGAATAATTCTTCTGTACAAGTTTCTGGGTGTTAAAAAAGCTAATCTAAATATTACTCTCACAGTATCTTGCTTATTGTCCACAGTGAATTAGCGTTTTTTATGAAACTGTCATATTACTAGAACCAAACCAAATGAAATAATCAAACTCTAGAAATTGTGTGTGTGTGTGTGTGTGTGTGTGTGTGTGTGTGTGTGTGTGTGTGTGTGTGTGTACGTGAATTAAGGTGCCCACAGGGCCTAGAAAAGAGTGTCAGCTCCGCTGGAGCTAGAGTCATAGGCAGTTGTGATCCTGCTTATGGAGGCACTGGGTGCTAAACTGGTCTCTGGAAGAGCAGCCTGCTCTCCTGACCTCTGAAGTCAACTCTTCAGGCTTGAAATCACTCAAAACCAGACCTCTAGTGACAAGACAAGCCTCTCAAAGACCATTGCTCTGCCAACAGTCCTCTTACTCGGGACAGGTCTTCTTGGCTCTGACATCTCAGCAAGGAACAGAGCAGGAGAGCTGCTGCTTAAGGCTGAAGACCTGGCTTTGCCTAGAGAGGGGGAGCATTGTCTGAGAGCATCACCAGTATTATGTTATCCTGTCTTCTTTTCATAAGTTTGAGAGGATGATACTAACACATCCCACCTCAGGCTCTTTTTAGTTCTCATTGCACAGCACCCCTCCACCCCAAACAAGCAGCTAAGCATTCCATGTCCATTGCTTTAAGAGCAGAGGTGTCTTCCAGGCCTTGGTATTTCTAAGACTTGGTTTTTCAGAAACGGTAAACATTTTTGACAATAGTAAGAGCTGAAAAAAGAACATTTCAGGTTTGTTTGTTTGTTTGTTTGTGAGACAGGGTTTCTCTGTGTGGCCCTGGATTCCCTGGAACTCTATAGACGAGGCTGGCCTCGAACACAGAGATCCACTTGCCTCTGCCTTCCAAGTAATGGGATCAAAGGCATGTGTCACCACTGCCCAGCTCCAAAACCATCTTCTGTTAGACCATGATTTTCTTCTCTCAGAAGAAAATAAAATGGGACATGACAGTTCATGATCATTATTCAGCACTCAGGAGGCAAAAGCAGGCAGATCTCTGTGAGTATGAGCCTGGCTTATCCTACAGAATGAATTCACACCAGGGCATCTGGAGCTATACAGTAAGGAGTGCCCATTCATGTTCTAGAAAAGAGGGATTATGGGTGATAGAAGAGACTAAGAGGGGAAGCAAGGACAGAACAAGGCAACTTGCCACTTCAGGGAGATGGAGGAGATTGGTTAGTTGATTGATTTACCATTTTGGCCATGATATCTCTGGGAACCTACAAGCACCCACAGAGAAGCTAATGAGAGCCCAGTCATGCTAGTGCCTAAACAGCCTGGGCTGGGCTGTAGGCCACAGAGAGCAAGCTTTGGCTCATGGAGGAAGAAAGAAGCTGTGAAGTGGACAGGCTCCCAACAATCCTATGTACTCAAGTGTTTAGGACAAAGAAAAGACAAGCCAGGTGTGGTGACACACACTTGTAAGCCCAGCACTCAGGAGGCTACGGTAAGAAAATTATAAACTTGAGAGCACCCTAATACATAGTAAGATCCTATCATGGGGAAGGGGGAAAAAACAACCCCTAACTCAAAGGAGTTTTCGGGAGGGAATTCTGAACTCAGTGAGAGACCATGAGTACAGATGACCAAGTTCAGTTGATGAGCTGGATGCTTGTGTGCCTAGATGGCATTGAGAGCTTGATGCCCCAACCCAAAGCCTTGCCATGATATTAGACCTTCTGACATCTAGCTCTAACCTCAGCTATAAAAAGAGGGATTCTATCAATTGACAATGATCAAATTACCGGTCCTTTGGAAGAGGTAATTTGAAATTAGTACTGTAATCTCAACTCTTGGGAGGCTGGGGAAGT